GCATTGCAGCGGGGGGAAGGCAGCAGGGGAGGATGGCGGGAGAATTGTAGAGGTTTTTTTAGGCTTAAGGACTAGCTGTGTAAAGATTAACATACAAGGCAAAGGTATGTACTTTGGGCTTATGGGCTGGTTCAGATGCGAGATTGAGATTTGATAACTATTGAAGAAAAATCCCCAGAATCAGACCCACGAGTCACACAGTACTGTACTGACAAGGCTAGCTCACTTACGGGAGGAAAAGATAAAGCATCTACAGCAGATGTCAGCAGTGTAGGTTCTTCAGGCTCTAATAAAAACAGGTGGATCTTGAAGTTTATCAGTCTATTTGGAGAAATTTGATCCAGCTCAAAACTCCACTGAACACACAGTTAGCTATAAGTGTTTCATGACTGTTGATGTTGTACAGGATATATGTTTTGGAATGCTTTCCATAACTTGGTTCTGTCTGTGTTGTGGCATGTGTTGGCAGCATTTCCTTACCTTTATTTCAGTATTTTAGTTGTAACTTGACTGATTTCATAAATATGAGCATATATCTAGTTTGCAAGGTTGTATTCTTGTCCAAGTGTTCTCTCCTATTATATGTAGCAAGTATTCTCTTCTGTGACCCTCTCTTGTTCTTATTCTCTTTTTTCACTTTTAGTTGGGTCTTACTCCTTAGTTCTCAAACTCTTTGCCAGCCTAATGCCAAGAAGTCCAAGGGCAGGGGTTTTTTTGTGGGTTTGGTGTTTTTTTTTTTGTTTTTTTTGGTGGGCACGTGTGTTTACTTAGCAATTATAATTAGGTATAAGCCAGACTTTTTGAAAAAGGGAAAAGTCACTATGTAGATGCAATTAGATGCTTCGCTTTTTTTTGTGTTTGGGAAGTGAAAAATATCTGGTTGCTGTTTTAAGTCTGGCCCAAGTCCTAGTTGTACAAACTGGTCAGCCTCATGAAACATGAAACCACCCTGAAGGTCAAAGTAATGGATTTTTTTTTGTATGATTCACTGTAAGCTTTGTGTAAATTCTTTTGTTTAATATTTTGAATGTGCTGTATTACTTAACACTGTAAAACATAACTGTTACTGTGATTTAGTGAGTTTCTGTGCTGACTTTTGAACTATACACGGTGCTTTTCTCAGATGTTTTAACTCTATGAATTTATTCTTATAATATTAGAGCTATAGAAATAGAGATGTTTTGTGTTTGCTGGTGGCTAATTGTGTAAAAGACTTTTGTGTTTCCATAAAGCAAAAGAAATACTTTAAAAACAAAAGACCTCAAAAAATGCCGACATACCCCACCCAAATAGACCAGATGTTATTTAAATGAGGCTGGTTTTGATTTTGCTGTAACAATTAATTTACTTTTGAGAGGAAATCCTCATCAATGTTTGATTTCTGTTAGTCTATGAAATCAGGAGGTTTTCTCCTAAACAGGAGAAAACATTAAGATACTAGAGATGCATCAAGGATGCATTTTAGCTGTCACAGAACCGGATAATACAAAAATGAGTAATTCTGAGATGATTAATTCTAGGTTGGGGATCTTGTGCAGTGATGAAAGTTATTGTCCATGTGTCATTAGCTACCAAGTATTCAAGGGTTATAAAATTCAGAGTACCAGCAACCTCTGCAGACTTTCAATTTGCTTTGTAGTATCTACCTACAAATTTAATTTACGTAAGTTTTTGAAGAGTGTCTTCCAGAGTGGAGAAAAGTAAAGGAAACCTGCCTGGAAGCTACGTGAAGGGTGATCTTTACAAATCACCAAAGAGTCCTTAGGGATCAAACCTCTTAGTTTGAGTGAGGAATGTACCAAACACATTGATTATGTTCTGGATGGAATTAATGGGTTCATACAGTGCAAAAAACCATTTTCCAAGGACAGCTTTTCTTCATAGTGTATTACATTATAGTAGAGAGCACTTGGCAATTGGGGTGGGTGTGCACACATGTAGAAAGGAGGCTGCAGCCTTTGGATTTGGTGATGTTGGACAGGAATGACAAATGCAGCACCTCATTTAGTCACCCAAGCTTTGTCAGGTGATTTTCAAGGCTTTCAAGTAGCTTACAGAGAAAGACTTCCCTCGAGCCCTCCTGGATGTCCCAGTTAGGATTCTGCTCTGAGTCACTGTGTGGAGGAGCCTGTTCTTCTACAGAGGGACCGGGGGGTATCAGTTGGATGCCCTGTGTTTTTACCCCCAAATAATAATCTTTTTTTTTTTTTTTCAAACCAGCTGAAATCACTGCATTCACTCTTCATGGAATTATACCTTTAAAATCACCAGAAAATGAAATTTATGCAGGACGGCACTTTGAGCTGTTCCTCTTAGTATAAACACAGGATCCATGCTGGCTACCAAAAGTCATCAGGAAGATATAGATCTTGGATGGATACATCTATGATCCTGGTGAATACACTCCCCCTCACAGAGAGAGACACCTGTTCTCCACCTGTATCATAACTGAACCGGTGGAAATCAATTCAGCTGGATTCTCATTTGCTGAAAAGCAGTGTCTGAGAAGGTCTTTGCAAGTGCTTCACCTCTGTTCGTTTTTAGGGTTTTAGGAACTGCTAGGTTTTGCTGAGGTTGGAAAGAAGACTTTTATAGTGAAAATCTTTTGTCAAAGGTGTTAACGTGGATTCGAACTTCAGATTGTGCTTCTGCAGTCTGTTTTGTGTTGTGGTCTTCAGTGGTGACTGTACATGAATAATAACTTGGGAGCTCTTGGGATAGCTATCCAGCTAGAAAGGGGGCAAGGGGCTGAGGGGGGAAGAAACAACACCTGCAGTGTGTAGCCATACTGGGGAAATGCTATCGGAAAGCCTATGTTTGGCCTTCTGGCAGGTGATACAGAGACTCAGAAAAAAGCTTCACCATTGGCATTTGTCCACCAAGGGCTGTGGTAACTGCTGCCATAGCAGGACAGTCAGGGGATACCTGCGAGCTGTGAGTAACACTGTGAGGAGGATGTGTCTCTGATACCTTCCTGATCCCATTAGTATGCCTGGACCAGTGTAGGAAGTGAACTGGAGAGTGACCAGTAAACTCTCATTGCAAGCGGGACTAGCGGGATTGGCTTTTTGACCAGCAGCACTGTGGTGAGTTGGAAATCCTGTGTCGGTGCCAGCATGGGCTATGGGTGTTCTTAGTGATGCTTCCCAGCCCAAACTGGTACTGACAGGGGCTGTTTCTGTTCTGGGTGGATAGCATAGATCCTCTTCTTCGGGGTGTCTGTGAGATCATCACTATCTCAGAAACCATCCTGGAGTCATGATAGGGCCAAAAGTGTAGTGTAAAAGCTTTCCTGAGCTTCAGCTTGTACACTGCTCCAACTCCTGCTCTGCTGGCTGTTGTGCTGATTACTAGCTCATTTATTTGCAGGCTGAGACTGACACCTTCTGTAGACCAAGATCTCTATGGTGTTGATCACTTTTTTTCCAAACTGAACCCAATGATGGGGTAATTAAATCACTGTGTAAAAAAACAGGTAATAGTCTGGTGTCACTAATCTATCTGGTTTTACATGGAGCCTAGACCTATTATGAGTTCTGTACTTAAAAGTAAGCTGCCTTAGCTTTTACAGAGAAAAGTTAACACTCGGACCTGGTAGCTAAAAGGCTTAGCCTCCTTAACCTGCCAAAAATGTTTCATTCGTCAGTTTTTCCTTGTTGCGTGGGTAACTGTCTATTGTTTGTGGACTAGAGGGCTTCCTCGGGATCTAGGTTCTTCCAAAGATTACTAAAAGATCATTGTTAGCTGTGGGAATGAGGAAAGCATTCAGTGGGAGTGGAGCAATGTCCACTGTGCTTACAGATGTACTCCTGAACCCTCAACTGCAAACATTAGCAGAAGCACAGGTGCATAATCACCTTGTTGAATCTATACTTGAAATAACTAAGCACTGTTGAACTGTTTGGCTTTCAGCTCCTGCAGGCAGTTCGGGCTCCTTTTCAGCCTTTGTGTTGGAAAGGAAGGGCTGCCGCATTCTTGCCCAGTATTTGGCTGTGTTGCAACAAACCTGGTTACTGATGCCCAGACATACTTTGATTGATGCACAGATCAAATGACTGTTGGGAGTGGCTTTTGGGGTGACGTCCCATGTACAGTGATGTCAGCAAAAGATTTTAAAAAATTCAGGTGTGGCATAATCTGCCATTAAACTGATTAGTGCTCTGGCTGAGCCCTGAGGAGGAGCTCTGGCTCTAGAGCCCTGCTTATTGAAATATTTTATTTTGTGCCTTTGTCTCGCCTTGTACTAGACTTTTACCTAGTGCCTTCACTGCAGCATGCTGTAAATTGAGGTAGGATATCATACCAAGGACTATGTGCTAGCTCTCTTGCTGTCTGGGGACATCCACCAGCTCACAAATGTCCCTGACCGCTTGGAAGCTGTGACACTGGGAGAGGTCTGGTGACTCCTGTGGGATCAGAATGGAGTGCCTTGCTGCTCTGTTGGCAGAAGTGAAAGCTAGCCAGGAGGCCATGCAGGCTGGACAGAAGGAACTGAAGCATGAAGTGGAAGCATCTCAAAAAGAAATCAGAACAGTGTTGGCACTGCAGAGGAGCCAGCATCAGGTGAAAGAAGATCTCAAAGCGGAGGTGAAGTCCAGTCACTTGGATATTAGAACTGTGCTTGAGGAAATCCAACGAGTAAGAGAAGAAATGGAAACTCGATTAAATACTCAGGCTGATTTGGTCTTACTGATCAAAGAAGTGAGCACCAATTTAACATGTGTAGACAAGGCTTTCCAGAAAATGGAGGAGAGGCAGAAAGTTTTTACCAGCCTGCATCTTTCTTCAAGAGAAAATGTTGAGCAAGGATTTTTCTTTGAAAATTGCTTACACAAGGCACACATGAGTTTTGAAAAACCTGTGGAAGCTAACAGTTTGGATGAGGAATGTGAAAAGAAGGTGCTTAGGGGTAAGACAATGGTGACTGCAAAAGTGTGGGGAGAGCAGCGAGGTTGTTCCTGCCTGTGCTTGTCAAGTTGTTTGTTTAGGCTATTTTGAATGCTTTTAAGAAATGTTGTTTTGTTTTGTAGAAATTGACTCTCTTGTTTAAATAAAATAATTTCTACCTAGCGTAAACATTACTACACAGACCTTCCTAGTACCCGATAAGGAAAGGAAGGCTTCAGGTTGGCTCTGCAAACCTAAAAGTGAGTGATAGATGTTTCTTCTGGTAATCTAGAAACAGTGCGTGAGATAGAGAGGCTCAGGAAAACAGCGGTACCAGGCGAGTTCTGAGATAGCCAGCAGCCAAGTATGATATTAAGTACTAGGCAGTACTCCAGCACTTAGATGTAGTTTTGTGGCACATGCCCTGATGTACAGATATTTGTGTATGTCTTGCTTTTTAACATCTATTAACTAGAGAAGCTATGTATGGGTAACAGTTTGCTTTATGGAGAAGCTTGGGAGGGGTCTAACGTTCTCCTCAACCGGAATCGGCTGCTGCTATCTGTGTAGCAACTGTAGAGGGAGTGGGAGGATTTTTGGACCTTTTCCAAAGTCATGGGGTATTCTTTTTGCTAGAAAGATATAAAATATTCTGTGAATGATTCAGTGGTAATAAGGTTTAGTCTTTGCAAAATCACTGCTAATATTTGTTGTTGTTACTGGTACGAAGAAAGATAGGAGAACCTCTCCTATGAGGAAAGGTTGAGGGAACTGGGCTTGTTTAGCTTGGAGAAGAGAAGGCTCCGGGGAGACCTCATTGCAGCCTTCCAGTACCTGAAGGGAGCCTATAAACAGGAGGGGGAGCAACTGTTTACGAGGGTGGACAGTGATAGGGCAAGGGGGAATGGTTTTAAACTAAGACGGGGGAGGTTTAGGTTAGAGATTAGGAGAGTTTTTCACCCAAAGGGTGGTTACACACTGGAACAGGTTGCCCAGGGAGGTCGTGGATGCCCCATCCCTGGAGGCATTCAAGGCCAGGCTGGATGTGGCTCTGAGCAGCCTGGTCTAGTGGTTGGTGGCCCTGCATATGGCGGGGGGCGGGGGGTTGAAACTAGATGATCACTATGGTCCTTTTCAACCCAGGCCATTCTATTGAAAAAAAAAAAAAAATAGGACCTTACATGGTGATTCTGTTCGGTTACTCTGCTACATGTTGTAATTGAGAATCTGATTTCTAGTCTTCAGAAATCGAGCATTTTTGGTTACTCTGCTACATGTTGTAATTGAGACTCTGATTTCTAGTCTTCAGAAATCGAGCATTTCAGCTAGATTGGGTACAGTGTTTTCGAGTCTGTTGGAGAGGAGTCCAGAACCTAACTTGAGGGTGGAAATTGTTCTGCTTTACATGTCTGACTGTATAAAGGTGTCAAGTAAAAAGGCCAAAGTGAGGGGGACTTGGGCTGGCAACCAATCTCCTCTTTAATTTAGAGTCCATCACTGATGTGTTGTATCAGTAATAAGACTCATGATGCTTTTGTTTTAATGAAAGCACGGCTTTTGTTTTGACATCACAGTATGCCTTCTATGCAAATCTGGAAACTATCTGTCATTGCCCAGAGGTACATGGGCCATAAATAAGCATTGATGTGTTGCTGGTGTTAATCCGTAGAGGCAGTTCATGCTACAGAGGGTTCATGCTAGCAGAGAAATGCTTTTCAACATGTGCTGTATATAGCACATGTCTGTGATAAAATTGGCAATAGGAATGTCACTGAGTTTCTCTAGTACATGTTTTTTGTTCAGTTTTTTTTAGCGTAGTATCCCTGGTTGGCTTGGTTGGATGTTTGGATGAGCTTCTATAAAAAGACGTGGTAGTCTGGGCACCACAATAAGAACAATGGTGTGAACCTGGCAAACTGATAAAGGCTGGCTGAACTCTGGAAATGGGATATCTGGAGTCTTGTGTCATTTGTGGTTACCTGTTGTGTCACTGTATTTAAATGAAATAACTTCATTAGGTAATAGTATGTGATGTAATTTTTTTCCCAGGAAAAAAATTGTCTGCAAACATTTTGTTCAGGTTTAATGCAGCTCTCTCAGGGTCCTACAACTGGATATAAAAGTAATTTCATATAGTTAATTAAATGATGACATTAGCATCTGTATCAGTGAATTTACCCAGTACCCTTAAATCAAAAAGAGTGCTCTAGTTCTTTGTTTATTGTAAGTGGAACATTCAGGAAGGGAGGTGGAATATATGAGAGAGTAGGAGTACGTGAGCCAGTAGGGCACGGAAGGACTGACTGTACATGTTTATTCTCCCATCTCTGATCTTTTTTTCCTCTCTCCTTGATTACTGTGACTTATGATTTTTGAAGGTTCTTCAGAAAGTAACCAGTGTTTTCCTAAACACAGTATTCTCCATAAGATTGCTGGAAATCTGATGTGGTTGCTCTCAAATGTGAACTGTCATTCATTTAAAGAGGTCTGCTGAAAAGTCTACTATAGCTGCACTGTGAGGAAAGAAATGGTCATGTTAGTTAAAATGGTGGTAAAAATAAGCTAACTAGAGTTAGCAGCCAAGCTTTATCTTATCCCTACAGATCTGTATTTTGATTTGGGTTTTGATGTTGATGTGCCTTTTAACAGCTCTACTGTTAAACTGCAAGATTATATGTTTCTAATTGAAAATATACCCTTTAACAGTCAGCATCTCTGAGAAGAAGTGTAGTGAAGTCTGCAAGAATACAAGAGCATCTGAACACGATAAAGCAATATGCCAACAGTTCTCTGAGAGATGGCAGAAAATGCTGCCTAGAGAGGATTTATTTGGAAAATTAATAGGCTTGGGAGGCACTTTATATCTGGTTCAGTAAGAGAGGCACAGAGGACATCAGTATTTTGGACAGGAAACTTGTTTTCAAATGCTTTGAAAACAAGTGAAGGGTATGCAAGATTGATATATTCATTAACAGTTGATGTGTCAGTCAGACTAATGTGAACTGAGAATCAGAGCTTTTGTTATTAATACTGTCTCCAGTTGTGTGATTGAACCTTACACTGCTGGGACTATTCTAGAGTCCTTTAGCAACCTTCAAACCGGGTGCTTGGGCTTCAGAAAGGATTCATGAGCAGCTACTTCTAGTTAGTTACTTTGTCCCCTGTTTTTCCGCATATCCCTATTTTTCTTTTCTCCAAATCTCACCTCTCAGTTTTTTTCACTTTATCTTGAAGAAATCTTGTTAAGTTGAAACTGTAAAACTAATCTGCTTAGATGTCTTCATTAAACTGCCAAGGGATATTTATGTATTGCATCAGCCTTTTATTGCAAAAGTGTTTGCTTGTTCCCGGTATGATCAAATGGGGAAGACTGGCCCTATCCGCACAGCAGCACTGTGCTCCCTTCACAGTCTGAAGGCAGCAGAGAAACGTGGAACCTCTGCGGTGTTTACGAGTCAAGCGCTGGATTATGTAATGTGGTTTCCTTTGACATGAGATGATTGTGTAGGGCGAAGGGATTGAGGTTGCAACATAACTTGGAATATTAAATTGACAATGTAATTCTTGGACCATGAATAGTGGCAGGGCAAACTTGAAATATATTATGTTTTAGAGCGTTGTTTAAAGTCTCATTCTTGTGACTGAAATTGCTGACACTCAGAAATGCTGCGAGACCTCATTTTAACTAACGTAATAAAGCTCAAACCTGAGCTGCAGAGCGGGGAGTTTTTGCAATTAAAGTTGTGAAAGGAAGAAAAAGGCTAAGTAAATGAAAAATGGCTTTCTATTCAGCAGTACTTCAGAGTGCAGGAAATATGAAATCCACATTGCAAACAAGTGGCCAACTCTTATGTTAGAAATAAGTTACTGGATAGGTAGGATGACAGATCTTGCATTTTATGAAAATATTTACTCAAAGCACAGTGTGAAGAGTATGCTGAAAAGTAAGCCACAGAATATGTGAAGGTGAGGATGAAGTGCAAAATGTATACAAGGTTATGGTGCTAGAAATTAACCTGGCAAGTGATAGTGCAGCTCTGCTCTCCAGTGCTACTGAAATAACCCTTTCTCCTTACAAGTATTTCAACAAGTGTTTATACTACTTTCTCATGTACCTGCCTTTTAAGTTTTGGTGGACGTCAACATAAGGTACATATTAATTAGTTATTGTTGTTGTTTTAGTTGACAAGGGCAAGCAGCGGAGTCCCAAGAGCTCGTGCATACAGACCCAAGCCTCCACAGATGTGCATTCGCCTGGCACAAAACCAGCTGAGTTGACACAGTACAAAACAAAATGTGAGACCCAAAGTGGAATCATCCTGCAGCTGAAAAAATTCCTGACAAGCAGTAACCAGAAGTTTGAAGCATTAACAGTTGTGATCCAGCACCTGCAATCTGAGGTAAAAACTCGCAGCTAATCAATTTTGGCTTTAATTTTTTAAGTCTTCTCAACAAGTGCTTCTGAAAATACTAATATACTGATACATGACATCTGTGTTTCCATGCCAATGATTTCTGTTTTCCTGTGGAGGTAACAGTAAGCCTGCTCCTGGCATCAGTTGGGCAGAAAAAATAAAAACCTTGAGACTGGGTTTTATGGCCTCTTTGCAGCCTCATATCCTTTTTAGAAGAGAAGTTTTTAAATGTTTGTTGTCAGAGAGCCCTTCAGGGCTGAGTACCTTTCCAAGTATATACTTCCAGTACTGCCCTTGTAGGAAGGACTAGTTTCAACAGATAATCTGCATGACCTTGCTTTGTTATCTGACACTGGGTAGAAGAGTATATAAGGGGTAGATATGTGTTTGAGCTATTCAGAATACAGTGTGAGTTATAATGGTTGTATTTATTGAATCCTGCATTATTGGTGGTGTCTTAAAATCATCAATATTTCATTTTAAAAAAATTTAGAAATGCACCTAGAATTCAGAGTGAAATTAATCTGATGTGGTTTAATGTTTATTTGTTCTAGTCTGTTTCGACATACATAATGATCTAATCAGTGTGATATTACACTAGAAACTTCTGATCTGCTTTGAAAACTTTTGAGAGAAGAAAAATCTGAAGTTCAGGAAACTACAACAGTTATGGATTTACACTGCAACAGTTGATGCAGGCTTCAATAGCAGTTTCTCTTGGATTTATAACTCATGTTCCAAGATTAGTATCAATTTCATTTCAGCTGTTCTGATATGTGGTGATTTTATAATCTGGTATACAAAAACATCTTGGAGTTGTCTTAGTATGCTGCCAGAAACATAACATTCTCTTCTTGTGGGATATCTTCTTGCTCTCATTTCATCTAAAAAATACTGTATTTAAAGTCCAAGTCTGGTTCAACTCAATAAGAGCAGTGTCTCTTAGCCAGTTTTGTGGGTTTGGTTTTTTAGACTCGATTGAAGTGCCTTTCCCTGCTAAGGAACTAGTTTAAAATCATCAAAGCAATTTGATAAAGGATTTTTGGATGCTTGTCATCTAATACAAAAATGTGAAATTTATATAAGAGATTGTCACTGCTAAACCTCTGTGCAGTCTTCAAATTACTGTATAATAAGCACCTTGATTTTTGGTAACTTTTATAAGTAAATGTCTTCGCCTAGATTATTTTCTCAAATATTTTGTGTTGCGACTTTTTAAAATTTAGGAATACTTTATCCATGTCATATTTAATGAGGAGAAGCCTGTCATACATATTTGATTCTTCCAGGCTATTTTACAGGTCACTTAGTCTAAACATTATTTTTTTGTTTAGACTAATGGAAATGGTTGTTAAAAAAAAAAAGTGGTGTTGAAGATGAGAACTGTGTGGAGGAAACTAGTAATTTTGCTCCTCCTTCCTCTTATCGTCTTATCCTTTTGCAGATAGAAAAAAAATTTTATTTCTATCTGATTTTATACTATTTGTAATCTTGGAGAGCTAAGTCTAAGCACGTGAAACTGGGCTAAATATGACATATTGATGTACTTTCATACCAGTTATTGATAGTAAGGTTGTTCTCTCCTTTCCCAGGATAAGACAATGCTTGATGAAGAGTCACTGTCTTTATCTTGTGTACTTCCCTTGGGGGTGAGAAGAACTCTTCTGCTATGGTGGTGTACGGAACACTCAGAATCTGGTAGTTAGCTACGGGGAACATCCTGTAGGATTTCTGTGTTTTAGGGAAGACTGAAGAGTTGTTTTGGTTTTGTGGTTTGATTTGGTTTTGTTTGTTGGGTTTTTTGGTGTTGTGTTTTTTTTTTTTCTTTCTGGTGAAGTGTGGAGTCTGGTGTAGCTAACTTAATCTCAACTGGCCATAAGTTTATTTTTCTCAAGTGTCTCTTGGGGACCCCTTGGGTGTAGTTTTCAAAACTCTTGGGGTAAACTTGGGGAGAAACTTGGAGTTAAGTTTTAGCTTGTAAGGCAGGGGCTCATAGATTAACTATTGCAGAGCCAAATGAAAGTAGCTTCAGCCTTTCTGGTTTAAGCAAAATACCATAAATCATGCTTAGCTGATTACATGAAGAACAAAGAAAGCTGTGCTTCCATTCCAGTAGAGCAAGTGTGAAGTGACACGATGCAGGGTAAGATGATAGAACAGCTTGCTGTAACCAGAGGAAGGTCCTGCTCCAGACTCCTCTGGTGCTGGTCTGTCCCTGCAGAAGACTGATTCAGCTTACAACTACCAGAAAGCTAACCCAGCCCAAGAGAGAGCAGCTGTTTGCCAGATTAGCGATGTGGACCATCCTAATGTGTGGTCAGAGCCAGTGCAAGGGTGAGATGGTGTTGAGCACAGGCTGCCTAATCAGATGGAGAAAAGAGCTGGAGTGAGCTGTTGGGTTGCTCGGAGGCTGTGCAGCCCAGCCCAAGCCTCTTGGCAAAACCTGCCCCAGCCCCTCCTGTTTTCCCTGCAAAGCTGAGTTACTGTGAGGTGATTCAGCTGTTGGGTTTGTTTGGGTTTGCTTTCAGGTTTTTTTTTGTTTTTTTTTTTTTTCTCCCCAAGAGGTCCCAGTGCATTTCTGCACAAATGTTTAAAATTGCTGCTTATGAGTTTATTTGATGTGGGATAGCTGCGAATAGAATCGGGAGTTGCTGGCAATGACTTCTTTCAAATATGCAGCCAGCCAATCTGGAGTGGTTGAGAGGCTGGTGTTGAAGGGTTAAACGAGATTGAGCAATGCTCTGTGCTGTTTCTAGCCCAGCAGGAATCCCTCACAAAACTGTGCCTGAGCTCAAACCTGTTTGTTGCAAGCAGGATCTTGGAGCTGTCAATATTAACAGCTGCCTCTGATAACACCTTCATGCTTGAGCTGTCAGGGTTTGTCCAGGGAGTTTCTGTGCTTAACTACTTTGACTGAGACTCTTCTGAATTTAAAAACTTTAAAATCCTAAAACCCCAATTTCTAACTCACAGGAGCTACTGTTGCACTAGGTTAATTCCAGATGGAAACCCTCTTGGCATCCAGAATACTTGATGGCATGGTCATGAGAATGCCAGACGGCACTGAGTTTTTCCATTGTTAGACAGCTGTATGTGCGCTGGTGGTGTTAGAAACACTTGTCAAACTGCAGGCTGATCACAAAAGCGAGCTTAGTCTTTCTAGACTACTGTGTTCCCCCGATCCCCTGGCAATTCCTGTGTCTTCATAACTATTTTCCTGTTTTTTAAGTTGAAACAAGAAAGGAAAAGTGGCAGTACAGAGTAAATGGTGAAGTCAGCCATTTACATTGTGCATGAAGTGCCAAGGAAAGCTATCTTCCATTAACCTTTAACTGCATTAAGCGCTAAAATTTGCACAATTGTGTTAGAGTTATTCTTTTAACTTCCCCTGGTGTTCATTTTGCATATTAATTTTGAATTTATTTCTTGTCTCTTCAGTGACAAGTGTGTTCACAGAGGCTTGAAAGGCACGGTTTAGCATGTCTGTAGCATGTCTGCAGCACTCCTGCAGCCCTGCCCTCTTCCCTTGCCCCTGTGTCTGCACAGGCTGGTGCTCGCCTGACCTTGAGGAGCCAGTTCAGGCATCCAGTCAGGAAGGAAAAAAAAAAAATAAAAAAAATTACAGTGTGTCTAGTTTTATAGGTCTGCCCATACCAAAGTGTTACGGGTATGCCCCCTGCACGGTGGTTGACTGGGGAAAGGAGTGGGGGTGAGGAACCACCAGTTCTGGGGTGGGGTGGGAACGTGTGCCCAAGAGGTCTGCAGCTGTGGGTAGGAGCCAGATGCTCTCTTGGCAAGGAAGAAGTCCCAAACTCAGATTGTTTCTGTGTTGTCCTGCAAAAGTACATCACCAGCTGATGAGACTGAGGCCATAGTGACTCCTGAGTAAGCCTCTGCTTCTTGGCTGCTGTGGCGTGCTCAGCCCCTTCGCCTGCCTTGGGGCTGCCCCCTGCAAGGCTGTGTGCACGCTGCAGCTGGGGTGGTTGAACCTCTGGCTTGCTGCCATATATAAACTCTTACGTGTTTGGGGGTAGGGAGGTGTTTGTTTTAGCAGCACAGTACTAGCTTGGTTTTAAGTCTGGTTTTGACTGTTTAAGGGAGATTTAGCTTTCAGGTGGAGAGGTAATGTATTGTTAGAGTGACTTGAACAGCTTTGCGACCGTTCAGAGTGTGAATTGACAAATATTAACTTTTCATCCTCTCATTTTAATGCATAAATTGCTACATTCAGAACTACTTCGGCCGTTTAAAAAATGGTAAAAAGATGGTAACGTGTTTGTTATGAACACCCATTTCTGTTCTTCTGGTTTAATAAATCTGTGTTTCAAGAGCTCTCGACAGATTCTGCCATAGAAATGAGCTTCAGATTTGTGTCTGTGCTACAAAGATGAACAGAAACTAAATTTCACTGTTGTGCTTCTCCTTGGTATGGTAATGGGAAGACTGGTATTTGCAGCTGAAACTTGACTTGGTAATGACTGTCGTGACGTCTTCAAGAAATTTCTCTCATAGAGGGAAATGACATTTGAGAGGCTGTAGAGCCTTGACAATAACATGTGAATACCACCTTATGGATGTGACACAGGAAGCAACATAAGTAATGTGCTAGAAATTGTATGACTGAAACAGGCTTCCATATTTCTAGGTAGAAATATAAATTAACCATTAGAATATATGAGCTACTGTAATTGGCATTTCCTGACATGTGGATGACTGTAAGAGTCAAGATACTAGTTTTCTTGGGAATTTCTTAGGACTTTAAAGAGCTTGTGGTTTTTTTTTTTTTTCCATCTTGGAATACATGGACACATGTATCAGAAAAAAATTGTCTTGGCCTTTGTGGGAGTTCATCAGAAAATGTTTCTATTTATCAAATAAGAAATGCATATCTAGCTTAGGAGCAGAAGTACACATTGCATCACTAAACCCAAAACCATTTATAGTAAAATGAAGAGATTTGGAACACTCATACTTTTGGCCTATAA